TATATTCAATCAATCATCTTTTTTGGACTGTTTCATCTTTGGCCAATGCACCTTAGAGATGTGTTAGGATGTGCATAGCCTGTCATCTTTGTAAAAACCTATCATATTTGTAAAAGGTCATGTATGCCAGTGACCTTCAATGCATTTCAAATGACAAACATTAGCAAGTCAAACAACAACAACTCGGTGAAGATGGCTGTGTGTGTGTCATAGTGGTTGAGTTAAGACCAATTAGAGGGAAGGGATTCACTTTTCCATGTGCTCTCCCCACTGAGACTGCCAGCTGATTACTCCTCAGCTCCCCACAGAGCGCGTTATATAAATTATTTCCCTTATTCATTCAGTGGAACAGACAGACAGAGGGAAGGTAGGAGACGGGAAGAAAATACTTATATTATAGAACATTTTGTTTTGGGTCTACAGGTAAAGATGCACAAAATGGGTTTTGTGCTGTTTATAGCCCCAAGCTGAAACGGTAATACTGTAGATGACTTTAATATATATTATATTAATCACTTTGTGTTCTGTTTGAGTTTTGAGTGAACTTAGTTATGAATTCTAAATATAACGCACCGCTATATAAAGTTAATATCATATTCTGATATTTTAAGAATTGAAAGGCCATATTATAAAATCCATTACATCTTGTATAGACAAAGATGAGCTTCTTTACTTTGGATAATGTAAGTGGCCCATTATCACTCTACATGGAGTGGGCATGGAGCACTAGCGCCAGAGTGGATGATTTTGATATCCCCCATCACTAAATGGCTGAACTGACCAATGGGTTAAAAGAGGTTAAAAGATTATTTATACATTTTGACTGCTGCTGTGATTGAATCAAAGGATTTGCTCCAACTACTTCACCTGATCACAGGGTGACCGAGGTGAATAAGGATACAATCCATCAAACCAGACAGACCAAATCAACTCAGCAGGAGCAGAACAGGGTGGACAGAAAGGTGCCCTGTCTGCAGGTGTACGTATCCAAGAAAATAAAGAAGAATCAAAGTAAAACCAAATGTTCAGCTCCTTCCAAGAAAACTGAGAGGCATACTGATGAATGATGGGAGAAACCCAGATAAAGTGACAGAGGTTGACATGGTGATAAAGTGAACAAACAAACAGTCAGCGACAGGAGACTGACAAACTGGAGGACTGAAGAGTTGATTCACCCTGATGGTTTGTTGGGCAGATGTCAAGATGGATGGATGGAGGCAGATGGAAACACAGACAGACAGGCTGACGTAAGGTCAGGGACACAGATAGACAGTGACACCACGACACTGTTTGGGCAGTAACACACTGAAGGCCTTTCTGACAACAGAGACATCAACACACTGTATGCTCATTTGTGTCTCTGGCTAATTTATATCAGAACTGTATATTGGAATATCAACTGTCGCCAGAAGACAGAAAATGGGCACCATGGTAGCTTAATGGTTAGGACCGCATACCATATAATCCCTGATTTGATTTCTGAAGGAGGCCTTTGATGCTTGTCACCTATTCCCTCTCTCACTGTATTTTCCTGTTTATGTCTGCAATTTGTGTCACTTAAAAAAAAGATGATTAGTTTGGAAATATGTGCAATGTCTTAAAACATCATCTAGTGAGAACATACCACAGCTTATGACTTTAATTGTTCTCAGTTTGCACACTTGTTATGATAAACGAACAAAGATAAGCCAAAAGATCACAAGTGCAGCATTTTTCCTCATTAATCACAGAGCACCTACAGTTCTGCAGCACAACTGCACACTGAGAGAGTGGAGGTGATAGGATAACGTGATAGACAGAAGAACTGATCTACACCTGACAAGTAAAAATAAGCTGATTATTTGTATCATCAGAACTGCAGGTACAGTATGTGCAAATACAACAAGTCTTCACAAAACATTAACATGGCATGCGGGGATGTAGCTTAGGTGTGAGTTAGATCAATGCTGCACTTTTTTTTGCCATTAATTGGGTAATATTAGACTTTTGTTTTCAAAAATAAAAGTTTAAAGTATAAGAGTAACGGGTCCATAATGACAATGTTAAAGAATAGGTTTGTGTTTTTTTTTTGTTTCTGTCTTAAAACAACATTTATGTGACCATAAGTTCATGAGGTTAGATCTGGGTCCTTCTAACTATTCATGCCTACCACACCGACCCTGAAGTGTTTCATCTGGAATGCAAGTACACACAGACAAAAGACACAGCGCTCACATGGTGCTAAAAAGAATTCCAAAGTATTGGACAAATTAACAGTCTGACCAGATGGTGGTGCTACAGGAAAACTCTGGGCATTACCAAGGTAAATAGGATTTATCATCAGGGAACTATGAATGTCTGGACAAAGCTTTGTGCTAGTTCTAGAGATATTTCACTAGATAAGTGGGGGGGAAAATGACCTGCCGGTGCAGCTAGATAATCACCAAGGGGATCACCAAGGTCTGTAGTAGTTGAGGTGTTTTAGTTGGGACCAAACCATTGCCTCAAGTTGGCTTGAGATATTTTAAAATGAAGCCCTGTCTTCTGTTGTGCCACATCACAGATTATGTTCTTAGTGTGAAGTTATGAGCAGTTTTAGCAAAGACTGATTTATTGTTCTTGGAGTGTTTGTGTTGAAGGATGTTTTGAGGCCTGAAGATGTTAAATGGTAGTTCATGATAGAAGAAAAAGCTCAAAAAATTTAAAAAATAAACACATTTTTGCACCTATCCTCAAATTAATCCTGGGAACCTTTAGGACACCTCGATCCCCAGGTGGGGAATCACTGCTTCAACCTCATTTGATTTGATATGAATCACGAAAACATTTCATGGGCATGGAATTACAAAGGTAGGTATTGAATGTATCCTCATGTCTGTATACACAAAAGCTTAGGTGCTTGTGAGTGTTTTATAAGAAGCAGGTTGTTTCTGAGAAAAAAACCTGAGGCTTGCATGTGTGAAAGAATATCTGTGTGTGTTTGTGTGAAATGTGGGGAGAAAAAGTGAAACACAAAAGAGCAAGTGTGAGAAATAGAGAAAGAGAGAGACACCCAGAAAGATATACAGAAGGAGAGAGAGAGACCAGCTCCATAAAGACGTGAGCAGAATTCGATCTGAGTGAGAGAGGTGATATATAGTTTAGTGAGTAGCAGGGGGTCACGACAAAGCCTTTAACAGTAATGCCCAGGGAGTTGCCTCGCCCAAGGGACCCGCGCTCCATTTTACAGCCAAGCGACTGAGACTGAGGCGCTGTGGCATGACAGCTGGAGCAGTAAAGCCGGCCTCTAGTACCATCCATAACATGAAGGAGGCGTAGACACTGCTGATATCACCACAAAACACCAGGCCCGAGGCCACACCGACAGCTGGCGAGTTAAGAGAGATGAAGAAAAAGGGGGCTTGGGAAATGGAAGGAAGTGGCAGATGAGACAAAGGAGGGTGAAAAGAAAAAAGAGTGAGGACATATATTTGCAGATTCAGGCAGAGAAAAAACAGTAGAAAAAAAGATGACCTAGACCAAAAGAGGGACTGGAAACAGAAAAAGGGGGAAATTGGGAGAAGAGACAAAATTGGACAAAGCTCAGTGCAGAAATATAATCTAAATGATTAGTCATTTACTTTACTAATGGATTTGGCAACAGGCAAAAAATTTATCTTTAATTATGCTGATAATCAATTAAATGTGCTTTCTTTTTACTGCCGCATGCAGCACAAGTATTAGTATTATTTTGTGCCATCCATCCATTTTCTGACATTTTATAAATAAAATGAATGCTTGATAATTGCAAAAATAATCAACAGATTAATTGAAAAGCAAAATGATCAATCTGATGAACCGACCTACAGCAAGAAGGTCCACTGCTTTACTGGGGAGGGGGGAACTGTACTCTCAGCACACATGGACCTGCATTTTTTAGATTTCCTGGCACGTGAACATATCTGCACATACCACAGCACTACGATTCCTGTAATTAGGCTGTAGTTAGGTACAGTGGTGCTTAAATGTAAATGCTAATACCATCATACTCACATGCTAACATGTAGCATTTCAGTTTAGCATGCTAACATTTGCTAATTAGTACTTAACCAAGAGTTAATTACTGCTGCTAACTGAGTTATCATTAACTGAAGTCACTATTAAACTGAACACATTTTAGGTTGTGTGCTCCCAACTTACACTTGAAATGCTTTAAGGCAGAAAGCAATGTTACTGTATTGCACAAAACAGGAAGAGAGCACTATGTTCACAGAGCTAAAGGAGCAGAAGTTCACAGATTTTTACAGCAACAGCTCATGGATGTATTATAGGAAAACTGGACACTGGACTACTAAGCGGCCCCTATTCGTTCCTATGAGAGCTGATCAAAACATTTTTCATGCCTCTGGATTCCAGCCATAAAGTGACCTGGATGTTCTCTATGCTTCCCTGTTTTTTTGGGCCCATAGAACTAGTTGGCTCCCACACTTCGGGGTGGCTATGGCTCAGAAGGTAGAGCAGGTCATCTCCTAAATGGAAGGTTGGTGTTTCGATTCCCAGTTTCTGTTGAAACTCAAGAGCCCTTGAGCAAGACGCTGAACCCCAAGTTGCTCCCGGTAATATCACCGGTGCTTGGGAGTGTGAATGGGTGAATGGGCAAGTAGTGTGAAAACGTTTTGAGTGTGCTGCAATGCGTAGATAAGTGCTATATAAGTATAACACCATTGTCCACACACACATGAATGGGATAAAATAAAAATTTCCTACAGCTAAATTAGACTTTGTACCTAATGAATCAAATTCTGAAAATGACTTTTTAAAAAGTCATTTCATGGGGTTTGTGATGCTCAGATAAATGTATTTACTGTTTTACAGTTGGTCCTTTTCCAGTGATTATGATAAAAATATTGTTTGGGCCAGTGTGTGACTGGCCCTGTAGTTGAAGTGTCCTTGAGTGAGTCCCAACAACAATCATCAAGGTATCACATTTATTGTTAGACCATAGTGTAGTGTGCAGTCTGACTGAGAATTTAGAAACTTACTTTACTTCTAAGGCAAGAGCCAAAATCCCTGCAGCGATCGGAGCAGCACTGGAAGTTCCTGCAAAGTATGTGACACAGCCATCACCAGTGGTGGTCACAGTGACCTGGAGAAACCACAAACCAAATATGTTACAAGATGTAAATGCTGTATTAGTACGTAGAGATAAGAGATTTTATACAGCTACTCTCTGAAATGTTTTTCTGTGGGAGGATTTTGGAAGAGAGTGTGGCTTTATAGCAAATCCAGACAGAAGAGTTCCCACACTGTAGCAGCTACTTTCTCAGTAGCAGTTTCTCTCTGTCATTAGAACCCGATGACACAATTTTACAGTGATGATAATTAAAAAAAAAAACAACAACTTGAGTCTGGTCTGAAAACCTCCTGATGTGAGGTGGAAAAGGGCAGGCATCCCAGCAGAAAAAGGTGGGATCACACTGATAAAATTGGCCTTTCTGTTTCTCCAGCCCTGGTGTTGGCACTGCGTACACTGTTCTTCCTGGCTTTTCACTGTTACCTCTGCCATCAACACCTCGGTTTCTTCCTCTGCTTTTCTCAGCCACTACAGCCATGTTTTACCTCCAATTAACACTCGTTTGCTTCTGTGTTTCTAGGTGTGCTTGTGTGTGTGCCCAGCAGTCACCTAGGTCATTTGGCAGGCCTCTATAAATACCACACCAGTGGCTACTCTTTAACAGGCTTCTCACAGCTCACCGAAGCCAAAGAGCAGGGTTGTTGGCTCACACATGCACTATATATAGTATATATGTATATATACTATGTGTTTCCAAACGTTTGACTGGTAATGATAACCACTGTTGTTAGGTGTGTTAGGCAGTGCACGCACACTAACCAGAGGCAGTGAACCTCCTGTGCCAGCCCCTGTCAGGGTGACGGCCATCACCCCGGGACAGGGCTCACCAAAGTAGGTGGGGTTCCCTGTTTGAGTGACAGCTCCAATGGCAATGTTGTAGATGGAGTTGACATAACCGTCTGCACCACAGTGGTCATGGTGCATTCCACCATTACCTGCCGCCCACACAAAGATGCTGCCTTTCCCAACTCGACCCTGACGGCACAAAGAGAAAGAGACATCGAAGTTTAAAAAAAGGATTTAACAAAGACCCGTAGTGGTCAGCAGATCATTCCAAATATCACATAATAATGAACAAAATGTATTTAAATCTGGGAGGGAAGTGCAAAAAATGAAATTCTTCGATATGATAAAACATTTTAAAAATAAAATTAAAAATAGAAAATTTGCCTGACCTTCAAAGAAGCCATTAGTACTGGGCCAGTGATCAAGAGAAACTCTGTGGTTTAAGGAAAACTGCTGCTTTAATTTTTATTTTAATTTGTCAAAACTGTCTGTAGCTTTATCAGCACACAGATGAAACAGACTGGAAGATAATAACTTCTCAAATCGCCAGTGATCTATTTCATAAACATCAAGTACAATAAACAAAGACAAAACAAAAGAAACCTTAAACCACAAAGGATTGATAACTGCAGTAAACAAGAAATAAATAAATATTAATAGTCTAATGACCAGTGTATCTCAAAACACCCTGATTAACTTTATGTAACTGCAAAAACATGCCTGTAAACCAGAGCAACTAACTTTGGGAAACAGTCAGCAAGAATTGTGTGGATGACTAGTAAATTATCCTTAAAACCTTGGGTTGCCAGGGCAACACAATGAACCTGTTTTCACAGTTTCCACAATTAACTTTTTACAGGTAGAACTGAGAAACCTTACTCTAAGTTTAGATACAGCATAATAAAATATTCTAAAGTCAAAGTTCACCCTCATGTTGATTGATTGTGGCCATAAGTTGGATATGTTTGAAAGCTCAGTGAACCCAGATACTACACAGTTTGCAGTGCTGAGCATCACTAGCTGGTCACACACAAACCTTACATACTACATTCATTCACAGAGGAAGGAAGTTCTGTGCCACTACAATAAATATCAGTTTAAGGGATAGATATTCTTTGTAATGTTTATTCATTTATAGGTAGTTAAACTTGCTAGCTGGCTACTGGATTATGAGTTCCTGATTTACTGTACATGTAGTTTCTGAGTTTAATTCATGTGGCTCATTTGGTCAAACAATAAAACAGTAAAACACTAAATCTAACCATACCCTAAAAATAAACTATGCATGGACATTAGTTTTAAAAGGTCATAAAAACGAGTTTGCATTGAAATCTGCTTACATATCCACTAGTGGTGAGACTGTTTGCTTTACACCTGACAGAGACAAGTATGAACTTGAGATGAAAGCCATGCCTTGTGAGTTCCTAGCTGGAGGGCCTGCTTCGTGAGGCTGTGGGGCCCATCCATTTCAGCACCGTCGTCCCGCGGGCCCCAACTGCAAACGTAGATGTCGATGAACTGCATGTTGAAGGTCAGAGCTGTGGCCTCCATGGCATCAGTGACAGAGCCGTCCAACAGGCGGATACCTGGATGGATTGAAAAGGTCACACAGATCGGGGTCTCAGAAAGAGGCTTACAGACCACATAAAAATACCGAAAGAGCAGTTTACATTCTGGTGCTGCCAGAACATACACAACGATTCAGTTGTTGACATGTTTGAGTTAATGTGATACCCCCATCTAAAAAAACACAATAACAAAGCAGAGACACAGTGTACCATAGAAGTGCAAAGCACGCTCATACTGTAGCAGCCGGCCTGTACCAGAGTCTTCTCTCTGTCTTGCTCTGCCTTTTATGTATCTGTGTTGTTTATTATTTTATCTGTGCCTGTCTCCTCTTGTTTCTTCATTGTCTGTTTCTGTGTTTGCTGCTTTGCTATATTTGTTTTTCCTCAGTGTATGGATTCCTTCTTTGCCTGTTCCTACTATATTTGTATTATTTGTTTGCTTTATCACTGACTACTTAGATATATATTTTCAAATTAATACATTTATGTTAATTATTTTCTCTGAGAATGTATGTCAAAGTGAGGGCAATGACCTAGCCTGTATTAGCTGTAAAATAAAGTGGAGTGACTTCTAATTACTTTCTTCTCAGTAATATTAACTGGTTTTAGCCAAGCAAATGTTGATTAAAAAGAAGAACTCTCCACGTTTGCTCATCCGGGTGATTGTTACTAACTAGCTTTCGCATTCTGAATATCATGGCTCTTGCTTTTTGCTGAATTATCAGCCACTAAGTGCCCTTTAAAATGCATCTAATATAGATTTATAGCTATTGTTGGTTTTTATAGCGGTGTTTTGTTTGTAGTGATTTCACAGACTACCTAATCATTTACCAATTACCTGCAATGCAAATTAGTATTTACATGAATAAAAAGACAGTCCACCATTTGGTGACTTTGGCATCTGTTATAAATCTTATTCTTCAGTGTAATAGATACATTAACACAAATTCAAAAAAACTGAAAACCGCTATATACAGCCATTTATGAGCAAGAAACATGATGAAGAAAAATAAAAAACAAAAGAAGAATTCTTGAAAACCCCAGAGATAGTAAAGAGAGGCAGGGTAGTTGAAAACCTCAGCCTTGACAGTCACAGGCAGGCTGACACACACCAACAACACAGAATGTGTTTACCTCCCCTTGGACCTGCAAGCAAAGTACAAAACCAAAGCACGGATCTTACGGAGCAGTCAACCTGCATTAAACACCAGGCTAAGAGTGAAAAGATCATAGAGGCCAAAGGTGTGGTATAGTATTTATAGCTGGGATGCAAAAGTAGCCTATACATTATGACTGTGACTTTGGTTTTTATAAACCTTGACCTGCACTTTATTGGCATTCAGGAAGAAGTGAAACAAAATACCAGAATTCATTATTAATTTAAAAAATCAGTGAGGAGCTTGAACATCTTATGAGGTTTTACAGTTAAAGGAACATTACCAGTTATTATTATATTATTTTCATGCAGACTGACAATACATTAGAATGACAATACTTGAAAAACCTGCTGTATGACTGTGGATGTAGTGTACAGTGGCACCTAGGGGAAAGCACATACAAAGTACAAACATGACACTTTACTGAGGCTTCATCAGTACGAGTACCTGCTTTCCTGTGCGTCATTAACAATAAAACATTACATTGATTATAGCTGTGTTAAGACTGCTTAACCTGGCTAGCACCACACACATTTTCTGTCAATGATAATGAAGTCGAATAAATAAATATTAAAAATTTAAATCTTAATTTTACTTTTCTGGAATGCAATGCCTTTTCATAACTTCCTCATTGTATACAACTAGGCATGAATAACAATATTCAGTTCTGCACTTCCCTTAAAACCATGTTGCTTCCCAATATCCAGTATATATTTCTTGGTTTATACTTTAAAAACATGTCTATGATCAGTTCAAAAATCATTTTATAAAGAAAATACAGTACATTGAATTTCATTAAATGAAATTTAATTGGGAGTTTACATTTAAGACAAACTATATGTGTATGTGTACACTCTCCTTGCAATGCATCAAAAATGTCTTTTAAGGTACTTCATCAGGCTTAATTTGCAGCTTTCTGATTCAGCACATGTATGTACATATTTAAAAACCACAAGTATAACAAGGCTGGTTTTAAACATGAATGCACTGGATTTTGAGTATGTTTTCAAAGCATAAAGAGGCACAGAAGTAAAAACTCAACTCAGTCAACCTTCACTGTCAGACAGTCATCACAGAAGCCTGTAGTTCAACGTACATCTTTCATGTAGGTCTTGCCCCTTCATCTCCTGTGTGCCAGACTTTGTTTATGAGCAGGGATAAAATAGACTCAGCAAGGTGAAATTAAGACTAACTGTGGAAGAAGGTTCCTGGTCTTGCTTCACAAACTGTATTTTTTTCTCTTTCTAACAATTCTACAAGAGGTCAAGGGTTCACGTAGCTAAGTTCAAATGTCCGAGATCAACCAAGAGATTCTTCTATTCATTCTCCACATTTCATGTGAATGACAGAGCTATATGAAACTGGTTTTGAAACATTCAGATCTGGGTGCTGTGGGAGATTTTCTTAATCAAACATAACGTGCACTCCTCATTAACTTGTGGTTTATAGCACTCTTAGTATATCCTATAAAAGCCCTCGATTTCACAACAGAAAATGGGCTATCTCATGCATTCATCCTTCGCCAATGTTACAGCCAACACTAAAAAAGCCATTATTGAAGCTCCCACTAAAAAATGAGCTGTTAAATAGGGTCAGCACGGCTCAGTACCAGCCAGTAACTGTGTATTCTGCCGTACTCACACAAACCCAAAACCACACACACGCAGAAAATGCACAATATCTGCATGTGCATATAAATGATATACTCTCAGTCTTTTTTAAAGATATATTTCTTATCATCTAAACCAAAACTCTTGAAGACTTTTTGATACATTACTTTCATCTATTAGCGTTCACAACGAGCAGCGGACTTCCAGTACTACTAAACTAATGCAAACTAATATAACAAATATATTCCGCAATTTTCTGCCAAATTTCACCAATAAGCCATTATATTTGTTATTTCTATTTAAGCAAGATTAGCTACTAACCCTTTGATGTAGCATAATTTATAGTCAAATTGTAAAATGCAGGTTTTGCCTCTCAAAAATGGTTCAACACAAAAGAACAACTAATAACTTCCTGGACCAGTACCAGAATGTACCAGAATGAGTTTGAGTTTATTTTAGAAGGTATTTAATGCATTTTGTTAAGTCATTTTGTAAGTGCCTTGTAAAGCTTAATAAGACTAAGCTCAAAGCATCCTGTCAGAAATCTCTTTTTTATTTCAGACGGGATTTAGGAACTTGGGGATTAAATAACCTAAAAGGTGCCTCATGATTTTTAAGATACAAACCTTTTTAACTGTATTGTCATGAATTCTATCTAGTTTAAGATTAGTGAGCTTTACTATATGTTATTTTTTTTATTAAAATTTTTATTTTACATTCCATGTCATCTTCCTGGCCACTACAGTACAGCCACAATGCACTGCCTCTCACTGTCCCTATCAGGGTTGTGGTCGAGTCACTAAACCTCGAGTCTGAGTCAAGTCTTGAATCCAAGTCCAAGTCACCAATAAGTAATCTGAGTCGAGTCCAAGTTGAATCCCTGTTATGTGAGTCAGAGTCATCAAAGGTCTACATTAAACACAACTGGCATCTCACCATGTTATATCACCATATTGCTCAGCAATTTGATACATAAAAATCAAAAGGTGGAGTGTACACTTGATGGAGGTGGATACTACATGGACATGAGCAGGTTTCAATTCAAGCAGGTTCAAATTATTATAGCCTAGTACAAAAAATAAACAAATAAATAAAACACAATTATAAGTCCTCCTCTCAAACTTCCAAGTCTGAATGCAGTCAGTGCTCAAGTCCAAGTCCAGTCACAAGTCCTGAAAATCTGGACTCGACTACTATAACACTGGTCTCTATACTGTAAGACTGCATTCTTTTCCTCACCTCCGATCCTGGCATTGAAGGCAATGCCCACACCACAGTAGGAGTTGTTGGCCTCCATGGCAACTTCCCCTGCACACCGAGTACCATGACTGAAACACAGAATAAGATGTGTTGTCTTGAGCACGTCTCCAAATTAAGCTTGAGTAAGCAATTACACACAGCACATCCCCAAGTTAAGACAAAGAGACAGACACAATTGGAAACAGATCCCTTGCTAAACCGCCTCTGTAGCTGAAAAGCTTTTGGTTTTTGCATGGAAAATATCTAGTTAAAAATATTGCTGACAGATTTACCTTTTTTTGTAATTTATTACAGTTCATTTCAGAAAGAAGTAGACAAAGACATTTACAGTCAGGGAAACCTGCTGCTGTCAGATTTCATTAGCTGTAGCCAGTGTAAAGTTGGTTATTTAATTTAAGCATTGCCCCATTTGACTGGTTATCCTATGTACTGACTAGCAAGAGTTTACTGTAGATATATGCTTTAGTGTTAATATTTTCAAATCCTATATTCCACTTTTAACCTTGCAAGATGAAAAGCCTTTAAAATAATGACTAACTAATGTGTTTGCCAACTGTAAGGCTGTATTCGCATTGCTACAGAGTTGCTGGACTGTGAACTTCTCCAGACTCAATACAGAGCAGTCCACAATTAGCATTAGCCTGCACTCTGATAGAATTACTGTAGATAGAAGTGATAGAAATCAAGACCAGCTCCTATGCAATGAGGAGGTACTGTACTACACAGTGATGTATGTGTTATTGTGGGTGAGGTTTTTCTAACGTAAACTGTAACCCCACATAATTACTGTACCAAAGATAATGGCAATGGTTTTGCCACAGTTTGTTTGCTTGTTTGTTAATAGCATAATTCAAAAAGTAATGAATGGATTTTGATACCTTTTTTTTTCCTAGACAGGTAGGGTATGGCCCAAGGAACAATTGATTGGATTCTGGTGCTGATCCAGATCACCATCCAGAGCCAGGAATTAAAAAAAAAAGATTCTTCACCAGTGTAAGTGGCTGTATAAGAGCCCCCTTGAGGTGAAAATCACAGATGTGCTGCTGAACACTTCCAGCACATACAAAGACAAATCCATGAGCCACCGACAGCTGCCTATTCACTATCACGCAGGACAGCCTCTGTGTGAGACAGGGACTAAAGAAGCCCAGTGAGGTGACAGCCCAGAGCTGGAGAAAGACCTACTCTCTGCAGCGACAGCCGGGTGAGAGCCAGTCAGGATTATCTTGATCCCAGATGGTGATGACAGACATTTTCGACCATGATAATTTCATCCTAGAACTGGCATTTTGACCCTTTTTCAGGTAACAAAGTAACCACTTAAATTGATAACATGTGGTCAGTCTATCCAAGTAATGCCAATTTAGACATTTTTTTCAACGTTATCAGAGATATGAGTACCTGATAGCAGGCCGAGCTAAACGGCTTTGAATAAACCCTGTCTTGCTGTTATAAATAAACAGTTTGTATTTATCAAACAGACAAATTGTCCAGAGTTTTTACTTGTTAGCTAATGAAATGCTCCTTGGGCTCAGGACTAATGTTGGGTTAGCTTACTAATGTTACTGTGGGTAGAGAGGGTACAGACCTGCTGATGTTTGTGTGCATTATATTAGAACTGATAAACAGTTTCATCCACTTTTGTACACTCTTGTGTTTTTGGTTTTTGAAAAGGTTAAATTGACTGACTATGAATAGAAACACTCACTACCTATTCTCCTCATTTCTGACAGGCATGGGATCATGAGACACACCATGCAAGGCTTGTAGGTCAAAACTGGCGAGGGCCTCCTGTAAGGCAAACAGAAAACAAGTGAAGCACAGTGGAAGACAATGCAACTCTCAATCCAAACCATCAGAATGATGCAACAGGAAATGAAGAAATCTCATTAAAAAACAACAACTCATGAACAACACTGGCACTTGAATTAGTCTATCATCATATTTCATCTGAGTGACAGCAATCACTGCCATCGTGTGTGTGGTTAGATAGATGGAGATACACGTTTGAATGACTTGTTTGCCAGTGTATATTGGCCTAGGCATAACGGGAGGAGGATGCCATGGCAGCGAACTGTAGGGGAGCGATTATGCAGCCCTCTTTCTCTCTCTGACTCTCTCTGCAGCCAGGCTTATTCATGCCAGACAATCTGCTCTGACAAAGTACAAGTTGGCCTCCGTTCTTCAAACTGCCTATAGGATTATAAATGACAAGGCAGGAGCAAACAATGCTGCCACTACACATATGCTTTATGACTAGCCAGTGCAACACCAGCCTAACTGAATAAAACAGCTTTATCACTATATGAAACTTTTATTGTCTCGGGTTTTCCAGTAAGTAATCGAGAAGTTGGGCAGTTAAAGAGAAAGTCAATACAAAAATTTCACTCTAATGAAAATCCAGTTGTTTGCGATAACAGCGCTGCTGGCTGAATATAATCTTGTAAAAGGACAACTGAATGAAAAATTGGATTGTATAACCATCCCTGAGATCTACATGAGATGATATTTTGCAGCTCAGCATTAATAAGATTGGGTTGAGATCAGTTATTATTCATAAATCAGATTTTAAGTTTACTTACAAAATTTTTCTTCAGGTCTTTATTTGTGTGATCTACACCTGACAAAAGAAAAAAAAATTAGACATAAAAACATGATAATACTGTAGCTTTAGCTTCTCTGTATGATTTTCTTTGGCTAAAAATCCTGGCAAAGAAGGCTACTATTCACCAGTGGTTTCACTTGTCATAGTGGGCCCCTGGCCCACATTACCTACTGTGTGTTCCTGATCTGCCAGCGACGCTGTCACACTCCTACCTGCCCAGCTCACTGCCTTTCGGTTCCTAAGTCCACCACTTTACCTACACCCCTCCTGCCTGACTCACCTGTGTGCTTCCGACACCACCTACACCTTCTTTCCTTGTACCCTTATAAATTAATAGTGTTTCTAAGATTCCGTTCAGTCCTGGTCTGCCTTTTGGGTCCTGTCCCAGTGTGAGATCCTAACATTACTTGCTACCTAAACAATGTTGCCTCTTGGTTTGTATTTCACACATTTAAATGATCATACCAATAAATCTGTGAGAAAGTCAGGATTGATTTTATAATGGATCTGTAAAATAATACCATCAACGCTCTGGAAACATGAAAAACATTTAACTTCTGCAAAAACTCAGATTAGCTCTGGGCTCCATTTCTTCAAAATCAGAATCAGAATCAGAATCAGTTTTATTGGCCAGGTGTGACGGACACACGAGGAATTTGACTCAGGTACATCAGCTCTCAATGTGCAAAACAGTAAACCAGCATAAGGCTGTGTAATATAACAAAATAGCAGTATTAACATCAACAACCAGTGCAAACAATGCAGAAAAAGCAGTATAAACAGACAGTAAAACAATGCAGACAACAAAGGAATGTTCATTGAAATGAGATAAGTAGGGATAAAACAGAGTACTTAAGAACTAGAGCCCTGTACAAGTCTCTATAATCTGTACGAGGTATATTTACACTGAGGGTTATTGACCAGTCATACTGTTGTTGGTTAAGTGTTTATCAGGGTGACAGCCTGGGGGAAGAAACTGTCCCTTTGTCTGGTTGTCTTGGTGCACAGTGACCTGTAAGGCCGTCCAGAGGGGAGGAGTTCAAACAGATTGTGTCCAGGGTATGAGGGGTCTGCAGTGATCCTCTCCGCCCTCCTTTTGACCCGTGAGGTGTACAGGTCCTCCATGGAGGGCAGGCTCACACCAATGACCTTTTCTGCAGTCCTCACTGTCTGCTGAAGTCTTCTTGTCAGAAGTGATGTTTTTCTGAAGTCAATAATTATTTTAAATCACAGGCTCAAGTGTTGAGTCATTTCCCTGAAAAACATGGACAACTACTGTGTCATTTGCAAAATTAAAAATGTTCCTGTCCCTTGTTTGTGTCAAGAATAAACAGTTGTAGGCACAAGACACAACCATGTGGGGAGCCATTAGAGACAGAGGAGTAGTGGTCAAGAAGTGTCCTGAGAGAAACATTGCCTGAAGGGCAAACCTGGGAAACAAATTACTGGCAAGCTCCACAGCTCACACAATTACAAATATGAAGCAAATAAGTAACAACCTTCTGACAGTAATTACAAAGATCACAGTTAGGACCTAGAAGGAGAAGCATCTTCAGAAGGAGATGATGAGACAAACATAATGTTAAATAACAATGTTATACTGTGTCGGTCAGTGTTTAGGTTAAGTTGCACTATTGCAATATAAGTTACTCTGTCAGAAGTCATGCGCTAACAATGTTCGCACAATGTACTAGTATCAAAGTTAAAAGTAAGATAGCATTAATTCAGACAACAGCTTCCCGTGACTGTTACTATAGGCTATTATATACACTGCTCAAAAAATTAAAGAAACACTAAATTACACATCGTATCGTGATGAACAAATTATTCAAGTTGAAAACCTTTACTTATGTACATTGTATAATTTGTTCAGAGCAAAATGACATAATGGTCAGTGGAAACCAGCATCATCAACCCGTGGAGGATGTTTTCAAAATTACACTGAAAATCAAAATGAAAACTGAAATCACAGGCTCATCCAAGTTGCATGAATTTCATCACAGCAGCTCATAATGTGGCTCAGAAGTGAATTTGGGCCCCCCTTGCCTGTAGGCACTCCTGACAATGTTTGGGCATGAGTCAGGGGATGGCGTCCTGGAGGATCTCCTCCCAGACCTGGATCAGGGCATCATTGGGCTCCTGCACAGTCTGTGGTGGTACTTGGTGGTGTCGGATGCATGATACACAATGTCCCACAGGTACCTAATTGGATTTAGGTCAGGAAAATGTGAGGGCCAGTCAATGGCATCAATGTCTTCATCATCCAGGAACTGCTTACGCACTCTGACCACATGAGGTCGGGTATTGTCCTGCACCAGGAGGAGCCCAGGGCCCACTGCACCAGCGTAAGGTCTGACTCTAAGGATTTCATCCTGGTACCTCACAGCAGTCAGGACACTGCGGTCATACATGGAGGTCTGTGAGCCCTGCAACAATATGTCTCCCCGAACATCCGGTGACCCACCACCAAACCAGTCATGCTCGGCAATGTTACAGGCAGCGTAACGTTTCACCATGGCGTCTCCAGACTCCTTCACATCTGTCACATGTGTCACACAGTGTGAACCTGCTCTTTAGAGAGAAGAGGGCGCCAGTGGAGGACCTGCCAGTTCTGGTGTTCTTTGGTGAATGCCAATCAAGCTGCATGGAGCTGGGCCATGAGCACAAGTTGTACTAGAGGACATCAGGCCCTCATGCCACCCTCATGGAGTCTGCTTCTGACAGTTGGGTCAGAAACATGCACACCAGTAGCTGCTCGAGGTCATTTTGTAGGGCTCTCACAGTGCTCCACCTCATCCTCCTGGCACAAAGCAGAAGATACTGGTCCTGCTGCTGGTTTGTTGCCCTTCTACGGCCCTGTTCAGCTCTCCTGGTGTAATGGCCAGTCTCCTGGTATCTCCTCCATGCTCTTGAGACTGTGCTGGGAGACACAGCAAACCTCCTAGCGACTGCACGTATGGATGTGCCATCTTGGAGTAACTGACTACCTGTGCAATCTGATTGGGCTGCAGGTACTGCCTCATGCTTCCAGCAGTGGCAAGGATGCTAGCAAAACACAAAACTTGAGCAGAATCAGTCAGGAAGGATCAGGAGGGAGCATTCCTCTGTGGCCACCACATGGAAAACCATTCCCTTTTGGGGGGTTGTCTCGATTTGGCCTCTCCATTGCACCAAAGCAGGTGAAACTGATTCACAATCACTTGTGCTTCCTAAATGGACAGATTGATATCAAGTTTCACCAAGTATAACGCCAAGTTTAACTGACTTGGTGTTATACTGTGATGATTAAGTGTTCCCTTAAATTTTTGAGCAGTTTATTATAAAATTATTATTACTGGTAAATGATTGTGAGGGCAGCATTTTTCTGTTGTAGTAGATGAAGTATTGTGCAAGTTTCTGTGCCATCAAGGTGCTGAAGCTAGTTGATTGTAGATGTGTGCAGGAGAAAGATCAGTTCCTCCTCTTTAATGTTCTTTTGCAGTAACAACGGTGCATTCATGCCTAAGTGCACTCATTGTTTCAATATTTTTGTGGTTAAGGGAGTGGTGCTGTTTCACATCATTTGAACTTTCAGTGTGGAAGACAGGTTATTAAAACTTTGAATTTTGAGTGCCCTACTAATAGATGTAATTAATTTGCCAAAATATAATGGTGAGATCTAGTTTTCAAAGGATTTTTTGTCAAGATCCAGGTTATATGAGGTACTGTACATGAGTGATTAGTGACTGAAAGAACAAACAGGCACAGAATCTAGTCCTCCAAATTTCATTCTATTTATTCAGCCTCTCTTTCCATTTTAAATCCTTTCTCCTCACTCTACACCTTTTCTAACATCTTTTTTATCAACTTCTCTTTCCACATTGGTTGCCTTTCATTCACTTGTTCCCTCCCTGTCCTCCCCCTCTTGTCACCCCAACCACCTCCTCCTCCTCCATCTCTGCTGCATCAGGACTCCTGTGGTCTCAGCGAGAGACAAACGAATGAAGGCCTCAGGAGGGCTGTGCCTGCTCTGCCACACATTACTCACTCTGTCTCAATCACACACACACACACACACACACACACACACAGGACCTGCCAGCCTTTGTCCCATGCAGACAGTGCCTCCTGGTTGTCATGGCAACCTGCAGTTGGTTTGGCCGTTGAGGTCTGATTGTGTTGAGCTCAGGGAGGATGGAGCCCTTGCTGCGTGATGCCTCATTGGAGCCTGTCATGCCATGCTGTGTTATGCCGTACCAAGTCAACCTGCTGCGTCCTCTACATAACCACTAGTGTTTTATCCTCTCCTCACCCCCAGACACACTTTCAGATACCAGTATAACAAAATATAAGCTTTCAGATATGTTTTGTTTTACATTTTAATTCAAAATCTCTCTTTGCATTTTTGCCCAGAGAGAACCACCAAAGTCTCTGTACGCTTCGGCAGCCGATGCCATCGCAAACTCCATTGTTGTTCTGGGAAGAGTGTAGACAGCCTTGTGCTATATGACAAATCATGTCACCAGTTGCCTCGTTATACACGCCAGCAAGGACAAGAGCCGTCGTCTGTTGGAATGCACCGGCTGGATTTACCACTGCTGAGAATACAACACTGTATGAATGTGAAGGTTTGTCTTCTTCTGTCACTTTTAGACGGATCTCATGGCTTTCATCAATAGACAAAGTAGAAAAAGCTAATATCAAACAAACAACTCTCCATCTGCAAGTTAAGATTTTTTAGTTTAACTACTGAATTTTATGCTTACAGAAGCAGCAACTATGGTTTGGTATACAGTAAGAAAAGGGTAGCAAACAAAGCACCAGTTTATTTTGAGCATTTTTGTCAATAATGACAAAGTTGTGCAGTTTTAATTTCTTATTCTTGAGGGAACCAGAGGAAGAGCTCTGTGGGCAACGTTTCCTCTTGTCTGAGCCAAGCTGGATTTCCACCCTGAACACAAGACCAAGCGAGAGCGCTTATCTAAAGAGATGTGTTGAGTGATACTACCGTGGCCCCACATCATGTCTTCATATGG